GGTGGGGTGGGGGTGGGGGTCTGCTCTGGAGCCCTAGGTAGAGGCCGCAGCCACTGGGGGCTTCCGGGCCTCCGACTGCTCCCTGCTGAGGGTCGGGAGGGTGACAGGTGTCTCTTGGGTTGCTTGTGTGGACCCAGCTCCTAATCTGGGCGAGACTGGGCTGGTTGACTCAGCTTTTCCTCTTAGGCTGGTCAAGTTCGGACACGTTCCGAGACTGTCGTTGGAGGAGCTAAGTCCTGACTTGTCCTACGGCTGAGGCTATTTAAACCATTCCTTTTCCCAGTTGTATTCACTGGCGATTGAAGATAGACACCCGTGTTCACAGACGTGCGGCACATTTTATGTACTGATCCAGGTAAGGATCGACTTGCTAATAATTTTGGTTCATAAGGTATTGTTTAAAGACGTTATCTCCTTTATATATGATTTCGGGTTTTTTTTTCACATGTTTTATTTCAAGTTTTTATCGTATGTGTATTTTTTTTCCCCTACTTGTAGGCCAATGTGCAATACCAACATGTCTGTGTCTACTGATGGTGCTGTAAGCACCTCACAGATTCCAGCTTCGGAACAAGAGACCCTGGTTGGTATTTCTGTCTAAAGTGTTAACTTTCAAAAATAACTTACTTTTTGAGATGATCAAGTAAATGATATAAACCCAAGTTATAGCCAGGCTTTTAAGGTAAAATTTTAGGTATGTAACTTAAATTCTTTCTCAGGGATAATTGTCTGGAGTAAAAGTGAACCAAAAGAATCAGAATTTTCTTAGTCTTTCACAAAATGGAGTGACTTCCATTCTTAAGCATGGGTATTGACATTGTGTTTATGTGACCTACTGTTTTTTTAGTTTGACCTGTTGTATTTAACTTTATGATTTTTAAAAGTCACAAAAATAATTCATACTATTTGTAAAGGTTTTAAGCATTAGAGAAATATATAAAGTAATATTTGAAAATTGCAGTCTTTTCTCCATGTCTCCTTTAAAATTTTTTTATGTGCATATATTAATGTGTGAATTTGAAGCTGTTACTGTTTGTTCTACTGAAACAGGATTAAATCAGAGTTGTTCTATAACTTGTAAAATCTATAGAATTCTTTTTAGTGGCTACATATTATTCTATAGTTGATGGTATACCAGTGCTTTTACCAATAGAGTTTTTTTTTGGAGGGGTGGGGGTGTTGGTGATTAAAGCCAGGACCTTATGCATGCTATGCAAGTGCTCTACCATTGAGCTACATTTCTAGCATTACTGATAGACTTTAAAATTGCCTTTCAATTTTGAGTATTACAAATAGTACTGCTCTGTGTGTGCAACTATTATGTGATTCTTCTCTGTAAGATAGAAATAGAGTCCCGAATTATACATATATTTGATGGCTGACTGGTAACTTGTTCACCAAAAGATTGTGACAGTTTTTACACCTGCGTACACTAAATTTTACCAGTTTTTTTTTTTTTAACTTACATGCAGTTGTACAGTGTTTGTGGGATATAGTGTAATAATTTGATACATATACATGTAATGATCAAATCAAGATAATTAGCATTTCCAGGTCCTTAAACATTTAAAAATTGTTGTTTGTAAAATAAATTGTGACCTAGTCTAATTACTATTGCCTTTTTGTGTGTGTGTAAAAAGTATAAAGCTGTTGTTTAGATTTATATGTCCCAAGTCTCGGAGGAGGTGGGGCATCTTTTCATTTGTTGAATCACTTGCTTATTCTGGGATTTGGCTGGTCTGGTCTGTCCATTTTTCTTTTTCTTTTTTTTTTTTTTAATTTGAGTAGTTTTCAGCATTTCTAGAGTATTGAATTTTTGTTGTTTAAAAATAGTCCATTTAATTTGATGTTATCTTTTTCCCATTGAGAATGTTTTTTGAAGTTTTATTTGTTAATTATTGTTGGCTTTTGAATTTTCATATCATTCTTGTCCCAAGATTATGAATGTATCACCTGTAATTTTAATTTTTACATCTAGATCACCACCTGGGGTTTATCTTATTCTTAAATACAAGATTATGGGGTAGGGGATATAGCTCAGAACGTTGAGTGCTTGCCCTGTATGCTTGAGGCCCTGGGTACTTTTAAGTTTTTCAATTATTAAGTAATTTGTTTTACTGATTAGCTGGAAATAGGCAGTTTTCTTAAATCTGGTTTTGAGCATTATATCTTAATTGAGCATGCTGTCAGATTTCAGAATCAGGACAGGCCATATTGAAGAGAGGTGCAGAGACACCGGTTTGTATGGTGGTGGCAAATTGTAAAGATTGAGCTTTGCAGAGTTGGATATAGCAATAGGAAAGGAGAAAGAACATAAGCATATTCTCCCCCATGTCAATTATTAATAATACTTGAAAAAACTCTTGGAGTCAGGCAAACTATAGCCTTTGGACTAAATTTGTGCTGCTGCCTGTTTTTATAAATAAAAGTTTATTGGGTTGAGTGTGGTGACACTTGCTTGTAATCCCAACCACTTGGGAAGCTAAGGCAGGAGGATCATAATTCAGGCCAGCCTCAGCAACTTATCCAGCCCCTGTCACAAAATAAAAATAAAGGGCTGGGAGTATAGCTCAGTGATAGAGCAAAATACCTGGGTTAAATTTTTAGTACTACAATAAATAAATCTTCTGTGGATTAGGTTCCTTAATACTGGAGAATTTAAAATAACTAACCCAAGCTGACAAGGATAATTAAGAGTAGATCTGAGAATGTAACTCTTGTCCCTCAACCACAACTTAGCATTTTCTTCCTCAGTGGTTTACATTTCAAGTATCTATCTGACAAACAGTTGTTGAACATGTGCTACACACATTAAATCTTTAGGAATCACCTCAAAGATGCACTTTTTTCTCTTAGATTGTGTAAATTTGCTTACAGTAAGCTCATTGGATCGCTACTATTTATGATTGTAAGGCAAGCAGCAAATGCTAGAAATAGCTAGAGAAAAGATAGCATGCACTTGGGATTGGATTCACAACTTAGAAATTTGATGATTCCATGATAATTAGTATAATAATTAGTCTCTAACATTTTTTTCTAATCCCCTTAACCATGGTATGTGTTAGTTACTCAATTTATATAGTCTATTTATTTTATTTAGTAAAACCTTATAACATAGTGTTTGCTACCTTTATTGTTATTTGCTACCTTTTTTTTTAAACCAGGGCTGGAAATCTGGGCCTCACACATGATAGGCAAATAAATGCTCTACCACTCAAACACATCACAGCCCCACTGCTTTTTTCTTTTTCTTTTTTCTTTTTTTGTTGTTGTTATTGTTGGTACCAGGGATTGAATCCAAGGGTGTTTAAACACTGAGCCACATCTCCAGCCCTTTTTATATATTATTTAGAGAGGAACTTGCTAAGTTGCTTAGAGCCTTGCTAAATTGCTGAGGCTGGCTTTGAACTCATGATCCTCCTGCCTTAGCCTCCTGAGTTGCTCGGATTATAGGCATGCACCACCATGTCTGGCCCCCAACCCCACTTTTTGAGGTCCTAAACTTTGTGAAATCATTAAATATAGTGTTTGTTACCTTATTGTTGTTATTTGCTACCACCTTTACTGACAACTTTATTCTGCATGTGTTTGCTGCAAGGCTTATAGTTTTCTTTTTCTTTGTAGGTTAGACCAAAGCCATTGCTTTTGAAGTTGTTAAAGTCTGTTGGTGCACAAAAAGACACTTACACTATGAAAGAGGTAAGCTGATTTAAAATATAAGGAATGTTTTTTTTTTTTTTTTTTTTTTAAAGAGAGAATGAGAGAGGAGAGAGAAAGAGCGAGAGAATTTTTAATATTTATTTTTTAGTTCTTGGCGGACAGAACATCTTTGTTGGTATGTGGTGCTGAGGATCGAACCTGGGCTGCACGCATGCCAGGCGAGCGCGCTACCGCTTGAGCCACATCCCCAGCCCCATAAGGAATGTTTTAATATATGGCCTTCTTTACAGTTTTCAAGCCCATGGGAGAAATTGGCCATCATTGTTTTATGGTCCTTTGACATACTGTGTAATTAACACATTAAATACTGACATATAGCGTCAGACCTAATAAATATGAATAGAGTATAATGAGGAAAAGAAGTGATATTTTGATGTGTTTGCCATAAGCATAGTTTGATACTGTGGTTTTTATTGGTGATAAAATCACAGGTACTGCTAATAGTATTGTGATTTGTTGCCTGTATTCATAATTA